TTACCTCATAGTACACATTCTTTGACTTCAGTGAAGAGCCAAACCCAACGCTGAAATTTACAGTTATTTCAGGGAAATGGAACCATCTGCACACAGCCCAATTAGTTCATGACTATATCGGCCTTTGTTTCATATGAAGGACAAGTATCTTCATGCATATGTAGGATAATTGGGTCACTGGCTATGTTTTGTGTACACAGGTAGCAAAAAAAAAAAAGAGAGAAAAAAAGAAAGAAACAAAATTTACAGCAAAACAGAAGATTACCTGATACATTTGTAATGCCTAAATGTACTGGCAGCCTTCTGACATTCCAAGCAGAGTTGAATGGCTCCTGGGTAATCTTCCTCCTACAAAATGAACCTCAATGTTAAGGTAAGGCAGGAAGTGCAACAGGGTTGTTAAGGTTGACAATCACAGTCTACATATGCCTCTCATTGTGACAGCCACTTTAAAAGTGATCCTAAACCAGATCGGAAGTCAAGACAATACATCCATACATCGAATTCCCTTCATCTCCTTTGTGGCTGGTCCATAAAAGGGTTTTATATTTGCTATAATTCACATCACGTCTGGTATTCCAGTGGAGCATTGCTGTAAAAAAAACACAGCTATATTAAACATTAAACATTTGGGTATACTCGGTACCCTCCTTGGTTTCCATTATTCTCTACGTTTTTACCGAACATTACAGATTTGCTTTAAATGAAACTTATTAAGGATTGATGATAATAACTTAAAAGTGGAGGAAAATTGTACTAATAAAGAAAGCGAGGTCAAGAGTTGGTGTACTCCATATCATTCATGAGTATTGTGCACATTAACAGTGTGTGTGTCTATAGGTAGCCATATAGACCAGCTGCCTAGCACGCGTCAGCAACACTGGTGATTCAGATAGGGAAAAAGTGATAATCACTACAAAGCCAGGGTTTAACCTACAGAACCCCCATCAAAACAGAAAATAAATATGCACATAGACCCTGGCATTCGTTACCTAACTTGTAGAAATCTTTAACCTTCCTATGCTGAAGTCACTCTTTGGATCACTTAGTAAACACCTCAAAGAAGCACAGCTGTGTTGTGTTGTGCACTGCACCAACTGTCCCTCACAGGAATATCAGATTGCACTTTTGTGCTGCCCAACAACTGTGCTTCACTGTTTCATGTGCATAAATGTGCAGTAAACCAAATG